CTGGATATCTTTCTGTCCCTCGTCTCATGGATAGCGAAGAAAAGAAGGAAGGTCGAGCTATTGGGAACCTACTCTGACGACTCTTTCGGACCTGAACACGTTCACAACATGACTTGGTATACACCATATCGAAAATTCATGCCTTCTAACCAAGTGACCATCCTAAAGCTTTGGGATGAAATCAACTTACCCCATAAAGAGAAGAAGCAGATATTTGGATCAACACTCACCATCATAGGCATAGAAGTTGATGCCAATGCCTTGACTTTCTCTATGCCACAAGACTCCTTGCAGGACTTGATCTCTGCAGTAACCGACTTCATCACTAGCCACCGAAAGTTCACCTTGAGGGAATGGCAGAGACTAGCAGGCTGGATGAACTGGAGCTTTAATGTCTTCCCCCTCCTTCGTCCCTCCCTCAATAACTTCTACGCCAAGATCAGCAGCAAAAATGCCCCCAACCAACATGTAAGGATCAACAACGCTGTACGTGCCAACTTACGTTGGGCTGTTACCCACATGGAGAACAACTCCGGGGTCCACCTGATCCAGCAAATTTGATGGGATGCCTCATCAGCTGATTTCACAATCTACTGCGATGCTTGTCTCGAAGGCATGGGGTTTTGGTTGCCTGACCATAGTGTAGGCTTCTATTCCCCTGTTCCTGAAGTGTTAGACAAAGAACAGATCTTTTACTTCGAGGCCCTCTCTGTGTTATCAGCCCTCCACCACATAATTAACACATGCCACCCCCAACAGTCATCACGCATATTGATCTACACTGACAACGATAACACCGTCGTGATTTTCAACACCATGAGGTGTTTACCGCACTACAACGACATCCTCATTAGTGCCGCCGACGTCCTCATCAGACAAGTCCTCCACCTGCGAGTTCTCCATATCACTGGTGAACTCAACCATGTTGCCGACGCCATCTCTCGTAAGAAATTTGCATTAGCGCAACAATACTCACCTGGGATCACCATATCCCCCTTTTCACCCCCTCAATTGCCGCTGGGGGCAACCAAAAAATGATCACATCGAACGTGCGTTCCAGGCAACCCTGCAGGGAGGTTTGGACTCACGAGCGCCTCGTCCGAGAGCGCGCAATTGCTTTTGGGACAAGCAGTCGATAACTCCACTTGGAAAAATTACAGATCAGCGTTAAACTCATATTTAAACTTCATAAAAATGCACGACTACCCTCTCAACCCAACTCCTGATACACTCAGCATGTTCACCGTGTATATGTGCCACCACATCAAACCCGACTCTGTTGGCACATACCTATCAGGCATTTGTCACCAGCTAGAGCCATATTTCCCCGAAGTCCGCACCTTACGCAATTCTGCTCTGGTACACCGTACATTGCAGGGTTGCAAGAGAATTAGGGCAATCCCCACTACACGCAAACGAGCCTTAACAATTGCAGACCTCGAAATGGTTGTCGACAAACTCTCATCTTCAACAGACTACGATGACCATCTCTTCCTTGCACAACTACTCATGGGTTTCTTCGCACTATTCAGACTGGGAGAAATGACATACCCAGATGATCCTGAACTGTGTGACCCCAGGAAGTTAACAAAGAGAAACTCAGTCCAGACGGACGACTCTTCTTTCAAATTTTTTCTGCCTGGCCATAAGGCTGACAGATTTTTTGAAGGGAACACAATCATCATACGAAAAAACCCTCACAAATTCGATCCACACACACAATTTATCAAATACCTGCGAGCTCGGGACCGCCTTTTCCCTTTCAGCTCACCCCTTTGGCTCACTAGCAAAGGAACCGTCCCAACCTGCTCCTTCTTCATAAGGTGTTTACGGAAGTTCTTTGACTCAGACACCGCCGGCCAGTCGCTTAGGGCAGGGGGCGCAACATCCCTTGCAGAAAATGGGGTACTGCCATCCATCATTCAAGCCATAGGAAGATGGGCGTCTGACGGTTTCAAGATCTATGTCAGAAAAAACCCGGTGCTGATTCAGGCACTCCTTTTCAGACAAACACGACGCTCGCAGTCCACCTTTCTCCACGCTTTGGAGAACTAATTCCTTATTTTTTACCTTTTTATTATTATCCATGGACCTTTCCTGACCTGAACCCTCTTACCTTATCAACAGACTTTTCACGTTTTTCTACAGACTTTTCCAACCCTCTCCAATCCAATACACTCACTGGTTCCACTGCGAAGCAACTTGTAACCCCCACCTTTACTTATCCAGCACGTACCTACACCTTTCCCCTCACTCCTCACATCCTTCACCACGTGAACTCATCATATATTATTTTTTATTTTTTCAATATAGGACTATAGCCATACCTCAAGTGGAAACATGTCGGAATTGGGCACCTGCGGCGCCCAATTTCTGATTTTCGGCTATAAATTGTCCCATCTCGCCTCTGTAACGCCACCAAGCTTAAGTGTTATTGGTCGAGTTTAAACAATGTTTACTCAAGTCCAATAGAGCTGGCCAAAGCTTGAGTTACATGTGCATACCAATTTCCCGTGTCCGCTGACACTCGACTCAGAGCCGCAGCTCACTTGCCCGCAGGCATTTATTCTAGGATCCACGCTTGGATACACGCTTCACGATCCACGCTCGGATCTTAGCTTAATTTAGATTTGCGCTACCAGCTGAGGAGTGAGATGAAACCCCCCTTTCTACAGGGCTCTCGTTTCAACACCTCACTCCCTCAGCTAGGTACGAATCTATTTTTCTTTCTTAGGGCTATCGTTACAAGAGCTCACTTCCCTTGATAGTTAAGCTACTCTCCTCATTTTTCGTCACCCGCCCTACCACTTCCCTTTAATTTCTGGTCCTTCGAGGCACAAGTTCGAATCCCTCTCTCATCACCAGATATATACCCTTTTTCCTTGTCTTGCGTAACTAAAAGGCATTTAGCTTGTAACATAGCCATACCTCGAGTGGAAACATGTCGGAATTGGGCACCTGCAGCGCCCAATTTCTGATTTTCGGCTATAAATTGTCCCATCTCGCCTCTGTAACGCCACCAAGCTTAAGTGTTATTGGTGTGGAACAAGTCAACTTTTGAGTCAACTATGCACAGGCAGTTAGCCACCTTTTGCCTAAGCTAAACAAAACAGCTTTAAGATATGTACTTGTTCAAAGATGTATGGTAAGTAAGGACAAAATGAGACAGCATTTCTTTCCGAGCATCAATGTGTGATGAAAATCCTCAAAGGTAAATGGGGAGTTGAGGAATCGAGTTTCCGTTGTGCATGGGGTGGTGCGTGGAGCAAGGATTGCCACAGGGTGTAAACGGTCAAAAAAACCAACCAAAAATGCAAGAACTACGGCGGCGGGGACTCTAAATCCTTGAACGATTACCTTCAGATGCAACGTCATCCACGGAAATCCGTGCGTTGCTGCATCTCAAACTCTACTAAAACATCCAAAGTTCCAAAAGGCACATCGCTGACCACTTCGACCTAGTGTTTGAAAGTCCAGTTTGGTCCAGTTTTTTGATGCCCAGGGGCGTTAACCGTAACCGTAACCGGTCTGCCTTTTCCCCAGAAGTCAAAAGACCAGACTGGACCACAAAAAGACTGCAGACCGCGGTTTTTTGTGGTCTATAGACCAGTTTCGGTCTGCATCGGTTTTAACCGGTTTATGACCGGTCTTTAGGCCAATATTTTAACATTATGAATCGGTAAATTTATTAACATCTCTAATAGCTTCAAAACGAGCCCAAGAACGTTAAGTTCCGTTAGGAATTGGTGCTTCTATAAAATAAGTCTGGTACATCTATTATTCCCAAAAGTAATTTACATTTTAATTCATATCTCTCTCGTTTTTTTACCAAATCGTACGTTCTTGGGTGCGTTTTAAAGGGTATTTAAGGGGATACAAAAGACCGGTCCAAACCGGTCAAGACCGGTTCACATTAACCGGTTTTTTTGCAGTCTTTACATTTCAAAAATAAAAGACTGTAACCGCAGGTCCAGTCTTTTGCGGTCTTGGTCCGGTCTGGTTACGGTCTTTTTCCAGTCACGAGACCGGACTTTCAAACACTACTTCGACCAGCAAATTGATGGGGGTCACTTTTTTTCGGCCTTTGGCCAGACCACCCCCCCACCTACCCTTGGTTCGGGATCCACATCCCGCTACCTCCTTGGAACTAAGTCCAACACTACTGAATACCCACCAAATCAATCTGAGTTCTGTTGCATATAGAATATAATCTGCATATTTGGATATAAAGGATGGATATCTATGATATGAAAACAGGATATGTTTAGGTGCCAGGTGTGTAACAGCCAGCCCAATCACAGCCGATCTTGCAACCTCGAAAGTTGATGATGGCAGACGGTTCACGGGAAATTACAAGAATGGTGTATGGATAAGCCACCTCTGGCACCCACATGAGCCGATATCCACCAGGTACAGAACAAATCCAGTGTTTTGGGTCAATAGTCCAAGCAGGGTAAGCATGACCAACAATGGACAATCATGCAGATTCATCATGTGAGGTGATACCAGCAGGAGAGGGAGTGAATATGTGTGAATATTTGGCACCTTTGCCTGAGCCCCAGTCAATGCATCCCACACCCGCACAGAATTGTCATGTGAGCCAGAGACAATGCAGGTGCCATCAATGGAGAAGGTGACAGAGGTGACACTGTGTGTGTGGCCATCAAGCACCTTCAGCTTAGCCCCAGTTGATGCATCCCACACCTGCACAGATTTGTCAGCTGAGCCAGAGACGATGCGGGTGCCATCACTGGAGAATGCAACAGAGAAGACTCTATCCATGTGGCCATTGAGCACCTTCAGCTCAGCCCCAGTTGATGCATCCCACACCCGCACAGAGTTGTCAAATGAGCCAGAGACGATCTGGGTGCCGTCAGTGGAGAAGGCAACAGAGGAGACACTGTGTGTGTGGCCATTGAGCACCTTCAGCAGCCTAGTTGATGCATCCCACACCTGCACAGAGTTGTCCCATGAGCCAGAGACAATGCGGGTGCCATCAGTGGAGAAGGCAACAGAGTTGACACCATATTTGTGGCCATTGAGCACCTTCAGCTCAGCCCCAGTTGATGCATCCCACACCCGCACAGATTTGTCTCCTGAGCCAGAGATGATGTGGGTGCCATCAGTGGAGAAGGCAACAGAAGTGACAGCTTTCACATGGCCATTGAGCACCTTCAGCCTGAGCCCCAGTCAATGCATCCCACACCCGCACGGATTTGTCAAATGAGCCAGAGACAATGCAGGTGCCATCAATGGAGAAGGCGACAGAGGAGACAGGTGTGTGTGGCCATTGAGCACCTTCAGCTCAGCCCCAGTTGATGCATCCCACACCCGCACAGATTTGTCTCTTGAGCCAGAGACGATGCGGGTGCCATCAGTGGAGAATGCAACAGAGGAGATGGCTTCCATGTGGCTGTTGAGCACCTTCAGCTCAGCCCCAGTTGATGCATCCCACACCCGCACAGATTTGTCAAATGAGCCAGAGACAATCTGGGTGCCGTCGGTGGAGAAGGCGACAGAGGAGACAAGTTTCATGTGGCCATTGAGCACCTTCAGCTCAGCCCCAGTTGATGCATCCCACACCTGCACAGAGTTGTCAGCTGAGCCAGAGATGATGCAGGTGCCATCAGTGGAGAAGGCAACAGAATCAACTGATTCATTCATTTGGATTACTATCAGTGCCAAATCACTAGCCTTCCTATGACTGAAGGATGGGATGCCACAGAACTTTTGTTTCCACTGCTCAGACATAGTTGATTGAGTCGACCACGATGCCAATGCTGAGATATACAAGTGTGGTGTAGACAAAGCTGGTGGATTTGCAGTGAAGTAGGTGGCAAAATTGGCTGCTTCAGCAATGTTGGCAGCAAGCTCAGCTTCCTTATTGATATTCTGACTACCAGATTTAAAAGCTGTGTATATCAAGTAACAATATTCTCACCTTCAGAACCCACTCACGCATGTGCTGAAGCATTGTGCTACACTGACCACTGGATCCAAGTAGGTTCATAGCCTCGACCCAAAAGAGAATGCGAATACGAAGGAAGTCAGTGATACAGTCACCAAGATCCTCCCCATTCTTTTGATTGGTTTGGGCCAAATGCTGAGCCCAGTGCCGAGAGGCATACTTCAAGACAGGTTTGATATTGGTCTCAACCCTCTGCATCAACTTTGGGTCCTCGGTGTCAAGTAAAAACGAGGATGTTATTTCACTGATATTGAAACATAATAACTCCTTCATACAGTCAAAGCAACATTTTGTAAGAAAAGCGTGGTGTTGGGCCTGATCACATGTCGTGGACATCTGATGGCCACTGAGCTTGAATGTTGAACGAGTGTGACTGAAGATGAAGTCAGGAAATGATGCATGGTACCAAAGAACCCGGCCATCTTTGCAATAGAGAACTGCATGAAGTTTCTTCAAGACGGTCATCGCAGTGTCAACAGATTCAGAGAGGAGGGTGGCAGTAAGAGAGGCCGGCGTGCGTTCAAATGTACAGAGGAAGGTATGGAGAATGCGCAAACGAGAGTGGAAGAGGTTTTGGGGAAGGTTAGAAAAGGCATCAAGCATGATTTGTTGGTAGAGGTTGTCAATGAGCAAGGGCTGCTGTGTGTCGGATGGTGAAAGTGTTTGTTCATCATGCAGGCTGCTCAATAGTTTGCTTTGCTCGGATTCCGATAATTCGCATGGTGTCAAATACCTCACGATGGTTGCGGCGGCAATAAAAAGACCGCCTGCCAGCTGTTCCATGGTCTTGAGCTCCAGCTTGTCTACAAAGTTTGGAAACTTGCTCTCTAAGTACCGCGTGATATCTAGTCCCACACGCTCAATCGGCACGTCTTGTAGGCGGCAGACCGCCTTGGACGAGAAGGTCTTGCACAGGTCCTCGACGCGACGATCTGGCCGGCTCGTGATAAGAAACTTGAGGCCTCGCAGGCGATGCTGGTTGATTGTCTCGAGTAAGCTTTGCAGAAATAGAGACCCTCCATCGGCCTCGATCTCATCCAATGCGTCAACGACCATGAGGTAAGGTGGGAGCTCCACATGACGTCCGGATTCGGATTGCTGCCATGGGCCCACAAGGAGGTCCTTCATTTGCTTGGTTGGCTTGTTGACCGAGTCAAACCTATCTGCTTCATGCAAGGCTTCGGCGTATGATCTCGACTTCCGAGCAAGCTGGTATACAAGGGTAGGAATGATATGGATCTGTCGTCTTGTCTCCTCAAATTGGCGGGAGCAGAGAAAGTTCCCGCCCAAGACGGTGTGCCGTCCACTGTCTTCAAGCTCATCGAAGTGTTCGGCAATGGTATATGCGATCGTCGTCTTTCCAGCACCAGCTTGGCCGGTCAGCCAGAAGACAGGCGGGCTGTCCGCCGAGATGTCGTCAGCCCATGCAATTATGTCCTTTAGAATCTGCTCCCGAGTGCCTGCGGTGCATGGTTCACGGGTCACTGTCGCCCCGGCCCCCAAGTCAGCGTCGTAGATAGCCTTACGAGCGAGAAGAGGGTCAAGTTTCGTGAGCTGTAGAATGATTTAGTGCTCGTCCTATTTGAAGAATTTGATGTTTACCCTGAATTCGGCGAGTATGTTATCCACCTTTCTCTCGGTGCTCCATGCGAGGTCAAGCTAGATGAGATGGTTAAGCAAGTTTGTGATCCGAGAGGACAATAGCATCGACCTGTAAAGTCTTCGTAGCCTCGTCCTCGTGATTATTGATCTGCAAAAGGTCCAGCGCCATCAGCTTGCTGGGTGAGTTTCTAACTGTTCCACTCACAAGGTTGAACGTGCCGCCGCTGATGGCAAAGTCATGAGCATTTGGAAAAAAGTTGTTTTCTCCCGGTTCGCGGCCGTTACCTTTAGAAAGAGTTCAATGACCAGCTTTGTTTATATATGGTGATGACGGCTTTCTAACCTGTAATGGCCATGGGGCCCACGCCACCCAATGGGCGAGCATGTTGAGAACAGTACCGTTCACCTTCTTCAAGGATATTCAAATTTTGACTGATGAACATATAACGATTCTTCTCACCTATCCCTGCGTGGTGTACAGGCGCTGATAAGACGCCGGAGCCTGAAGGGCCTGAAATCTTGGGTGTGGCACTGTTGGAAGAGGTAACAAGATCTTGGAAGCGGATCAGACTTGCACGATCCACGAAGCTGAGATAATATGGTACGCACCTTCACACAAGGCGGGATTACTGTCTAGTGGAGGGCGAAAGCCCGTAGGTCCATCTGCAGTGCCGAAATCTTTGAATCAGGTGCGAATAGGTTTGATTTGTGTTGGGCGTACCGACTAGCATACCAGCGGTATTCGTTCTGCTTGTATCGAGTGAAGCGTGGGTTTTCTGCCCCTTTGCACTTCTTGCGTCGTTTCCTTCCAGTCCAGGAGCAAGAGCAGAGTCGATGGAACCCAAATTCATATTTTTCGACGGACCAGCCGAGTCCTTAGGTTTGGTGCGCCTCCCACGATTTCCAACTTTCTCCATTCGCTCGATTGTTGCAGTGGAGGAGGATTGGACGTTGAACGTTGAAAGAGGAGATGAGAGCGAGCGGCAAAAATGAGGTACCGTATCCAAATGCATTGTGGATCAGGTGATCTGTAAATATGAGCTTCCACCTCTTCCACCTCCGCCTCGCTGTCCTCCCCAACCTCCCCGCCATGGCTGCCTAACTCTCAGCTCGCCGACAAACAGATCTGTACGCGTAACCTACATCCATCCGTCTTTGTCGCTAACTTCGAGCGTGATCAGGATGCAAAAAAAAGTGTGTTCGGTCCTCCTCACTTTGCCTCCTTCATTACTGAACGACGCCACGGTTCGTAGATTATGGATCTGGAATCACGCCTCCCAAGTCCTCGACGAATTGTCGCACGCCTCCACCTCCGATGGCTCGAAACGCGCAAATAAGGGATGGCTGCCCGCCAAATACATTCTCATCGGGCACAGAGACAAAATCAACTCTGTTAGTTTTCACCCTCTGCACTCTGTTATAGCATCGGCTTCTGTAGACGCGACGGTGAAGATCTGAGGAATTGGAGAGGACGTTGAACGGCCATACGAAGGCGGTCCCGGATTGTCAGTTCGATTCGACATTTGGGTGAGTGTTTTTGTAGTACTGCCGAGTGGTCATATGGGCTAAGGGAATGCATATAGCGACGTGTTCGGACGATCTCTTTATGAAGCTGTGGAACGTCCCTGATGACTACAAGAAGTTCACTAGCCTTGGAGGGACGAACACTCTGTCTCGGGTGTTTCCTTCTTACCAGGGGACAATCAGGGAGTCGTTTCCTCCAGTCGGGATCATACAGTCAGGATGTGGGATGTCCAAACAAGGCATACGACCACAGGAATTCGTACCTCCAGCATCTATCACATCTGTCTGGAAACTGATGGCTGTGGTGAATTTATTTATTTCCCCCTCCCTACCCGTGGACTTTCTGAGTCGAGCATAGACGTGTCCAGCCTTCCACCGTCCAATCCGCGAAGGTGGACTCCCTTCCCAGCAATCAAGCCGATACTCCCTCTTCATCACTATCAAGCTTCACTCTGCGCAGTGCATTGTGGCCTAGCGTTGAACCGATGAATTTCAGGGGAGATCGAGAATACCGTTATGAGGATGACGGATGAGGATCGCGCAAAGTTAGATTATTGGCTTGGATGATACTGTAGGGCTTCTTTTGGGCTGTTTCGCTATGCTTTTCGATCGTTTCTTGCGATGTCGCCATTTGCACGCCGCCAATGATACCATTTATCTTGTACCATACGTACGTCTACGGTCTGACACCT